CAACGTCCGATAAGAACCCACAGGCTAGGCCTCCTGCAGGTGCCGTCGGCCGGACAATGCCGACTTTCCACCACTCGGGGGGGAGCCTTTTCTGTAGCTGCTCCGGCTCTGTGGAACGAGCTACCAGCAGAGATCCGGACCCTTCCCACCCTTGCGGCCTTCCAAAAAGCCACCAAAACCTGGCTGTTCTGGTAGGCCTGGGGTTGCTGATTCAAATCAGGTTCAACCCCCAATTAAACCGGATGTATGTTGTATTTTTAAACTGTTTGTTATTGTTTGTATTCTCCCCTTGTGTGTTATTTTATTTCATTCGTATTTGTAAGCCGCCCTGAGTCCCCCGGGATTGGGCGGCATATAAACCCATTAAATTGCAAATTGCGAATACACATTAGGCTTTAATGACAACCTAGTATCTGTGCCTGACAGAAATGTCAGATCTTCAAGACATTCCCAAAGGCTATTAAAACCAAAGGTATCTTTACAAGATGGCCCCTAAAGCTTTTAAACACTTAATATTTGAAATCAAAGTTACTTCAGCTACACTGTGATTAAATTTAACACATACATTTATATTCCTTTGAATTCATGATGATGAAATACTATTCCATCCTCCATTTTCCTTACAAACATTGACTGGCTCCCCCAGAGGTTGCTATAATTTAGGATGCAACAATGTAGAAAAAATGAACTGACTCATTTTTCTTATTTTTCTCTTCACAAAAATAATTCCATAGGGCAATCAAAAACAAGCTTCATTTACAAATAGCTGTAGATAATAATGGGATGGTCAGCAGTAAGTAGAATAATTCACTTGATGCTGTTGAGATTGCCTCTCAAATCTCTCAAATGTAGAAGATGAGTAGTATATCTATTAGGATGTGCTCCAGAAATCCATTAGGATGTCAATGTAGGGTAGCCTTATTTCCAAAAGGTAAAATAATTTCAAAATGTAAAAATAACCTTTTTATTTTTATTATTAGACATATATCTCACCTTTGCTTTCACAACTTTAAAAAATAGCTAATAATACTTTATTGTTATTAGACTTATTTCCTGTCTTTACTTTGTACAACTCAAGGCAGTGTATATAATGTTTCTGCCTCCTGTTATCCCTCTAATAATAATCCTATGAGTTGATTTGGGTTATGGGAAAATGACTTGCCTAAATGTTATTCACCAACTTTCATATCTAAGACAGGCGTAGAACTCATGGTCTTCCATTCCAACATTTTAACCTCTACACCAAACCTGACTCTTCTAGTCCAAGAACCGCTCTTCTAGTCCACCCAGGGCAAGGGTTAGACCATCCCTGATAAATTATTGTCCAGTCGTTGCTTGAAAATCTCTAGAATTTCTAGCTCCCATTGTTCTAGAAGGCAAGACTTTCCATTGCTTAACAGCTGTCATGTCAGGAAATTCATCCTTATTTCATGATTGAATTTCCCTCTGTAAATCTTCCAAGAAACAAAAATAACAATCACTTTTATACTATTCCCTCTGTCCCTATTCTAGATGAATTCTAAGGCATAGTTTAATGAGACAAATTCTCTTCCATCCATTGGTTCTTGTCTTACCCTCAGGCCCTGTGTAGAATAAATGCACATTCTCCTCCCTGAGACCTCTTCCCTCAAAGGCTTCTAGCAACCTCTTGAAGACTGCTATCATGTCTCCCCTTAGCCTTTTCTTTTTAGGCTAAATATATCCTATTCCTTTAATGTTCTTCATCGGTTTTATTCTCTTGGTCCCTCACTATCATTGTTTCTCTTCGTACACTCTTTCTAATCCATCAGAGTCCTTCTTCATCAGCAGTTTAGAAACCTACAGTTTTGTTGGAACCCGACAATTCTGTCTTAAGAAATCATTACTAAAGAAACAGCAGCTTTGTACACTATATAAAAAACTGGCTAAAATGTTTCACAGGTAAAAAGATATAAAATACAAGTAGTACTCCACTTACAACCATGTGTTTCGTGACAGTTTGGAGTTACAACAAGACTGAAAAAAGTAATTTATGATCGTTTTTCACACAACACCATTGCAGCAACCCCATGGTCACGTGATCAGAATTCAGGAGCTTAGCAGCTGTTTCATATTTATGACGGTTGCAATGTCCCAAGACACATGATCACGCTTTAGGACCTTTTGACAAGCCAAGTTAATGGGGAAGCCAGATTGACTTAATAACCGTGTTACTAATTTAACAACTGCAGTGATTCATTAAACAACTGTGGCAATAAAGGTGGTAAAATGAGGTAAAACTCTCTTAAACATCTGTCTCACTTAGCAACAGAGATTTTGGAGTCAGCTGTGGTAGTAAGTCGAAGACCATTGGTATTTAGACTGAGAAACTGTGTTTCCTCTAGCAGAAGGAGCTACAGAATACCTCATAGTAATGTTTTGTCTTCTCTTTCTGAACCATAAATTTACGGAAAATGTTCACCACTCACTCTTAAAGTTTCTTGGGAATTTTTCCAACAGATAACATTGTTCCTTTTTAAAAAAATCAATATTTAGTAAGCAGTAATATGCATCAAGAGCTTTGATAGGTTTGTGTCAAAGTTCAGAGCAAGAAGGCTCTCACAAAACAATAATAAACACAGATCTACTACTTTGGAAATCTCTCCCTTTTCAAGGTATAAGGCACTTCATTTTGCCACACCTATTTGATGAAAGAAGCCAAAACCCAGAATAAGAATCCTTAGAAACACAGAGAATATTGTCCTAGATGTCTGTTATGAAAGGAGTTCATAGTTTAGTCCAGTTCCAGTTCCAGTTTAACAGGATGAAGTCCTACTTTTTCTCCTATCCTTTGCCTAAAGATCTGAATTACTCTTATCCACTGTAGATCAGTTTCTCCTGCCTGAATTCAGATGTGTGGAATTTAGGATACACTAGATTATAAATTAAACCTATAATAATTCCCTTTTTGTCCCTACAAGTAAATGTTGATTCCTAGCAAGTACACGGAAAAGTAATCTGTGGGCAATTGCCCACCCACTCACCCACCCAAAATGATCCAAAATCACCCAGCTAATTTTATGCCTGCAGTGGCACTAGCACTCACATTCTTTCATTTTCTAGTGGGAAAATGCCTTTAACTACGACACTAAACTTGCTTTCTATAACAATTCATAGTAATACAGCAGTATAATACAACCCAGATGTAAACATTCACTTTTGTTTTAAACAAAGGGAGAGAGACAGACAGGGGGAGAGGGAAGTATTGATATATTATAAACAGGAAACAGTGATATCTCCCAACTTTGCTAACTCTGACTATTTCAAGAGTCTGTATTAGCCCTTGAAGCAGACCGTCCACTGAAAACATTAACAAATTAAAGTGTCTCTATTCATGCTGACAAATGTGACAAAAAAGGTGGCAGGACCAGGATATTTCCAAGCAAACAATGGAAAACTAGGAGCATGTTTATGCTGTTAATCATAAAACTGAAACAGAGAGGATACAACAAATGCAACGTTCAAATGTAAGTAAAAAATAATACTTACAACACAGAGTATCTTATATTTCCTAAGAGTGCTTCTTTTAATAATTGTCTCTGTATGGGAATCTGTCAGGTCCAAAGTGCTCCTCTCTCCCATATGTGTCTTATCTGCAACAAGCATTTCCATTTTTCCAGTTACTCTTTGCTCTGTCCTGCTCTTTCAGTTGTGCCTGAGCTGAAGAGAAATTGAGAGAGTATTATCACTTAAACTGGTAGTATATAAACAAGAGCAGCCTTTGCTCATTTAGAGGGAGGACACCTAATCTACTTTTAACCAATACCTGTAGAGGGCAGAAGGCATTTTCAGCAATTTTCTGTTTGGAAATCTAAAGTGAGGAAGAGAAAACTCTTCCATTTTCCCCTCTTATAGGGAGAAAAAAACTGGATTCAGCCAATACCCAAAACATAAACACGCAAATAAATCAAGTACATTCACTACTTTATAATTGTTAAAAAGAATTATTTATTTATGAATCACATTTAGGAACTGCTCACAGAGGGACTCTGGCAGTGTGCAACTAAAATCATTTTTAAAAAACCACACACATTTTCATGCACGTTGTTTACATATTTTTCTGTATCCAGAAAATAGGTATCATATGGTGGTGAATATTTCATACTTTTTCATTTAAGGAATTTATATGCTTCTTTTTTGCCCATGACACAAGAACTAATACAAGAACTTTACACTAAAGTGTAAAGAATGGCTGAACTGTATGACTCCTACCCATGGACTAGTGATGCTTCAGAAAACGGATTTGAAAGCTATGGGCAAAGCTGTTTCAACTCACCGCAACTCATTGAGCAGGCAGGCTGCAATTGTCTTCCATGATCCAGCAGCTTTTTCCATCTTCTTCTGGTACAACCTATGCCATCTGGTCTGTCTGAAGCAGCTCATGTAAAGGTAAGCTGTTTGAGGGATTGCTTTGCTCCTTATGGCCACCTGAGGCTGCTGTGGGCATGTTCAACCCCTTGGTTCTGAGCCACTGATTCTCACACAGTCATTTGCCTTTGGATATTGGAAGAGGGGCCAAACCAGATATTGCAGAAGGGACAGCAGCATGGAAAGGAGTCCTTGGAAGATCAGTTCTCTCAGCACCAAAGAGACCTGTTTCTCCTCCTAAAGTGGTAATTAGAAAGCTACTTTCCCTGGTTCTATTCTCAGGGAACAGGAAAATGATGGAAAATGGCTCCCTAGCTAAATCCATTTCTCCATGAGATCTATGCCTATGACCTTAGGAGGAACTACTCCCCCACCTTCTTTTCTCACAGAAAGTGATTCTTCATTGCTTCTCACCTGCTACCTATGAGAAGAGAAGCTGCAGGGAGAGATAGCATTCTCCCCTCTTCCCAACTTCTGTTGTCAAGAAATAGGAGGAAGAAATGCATAGTGGGGAGAGAAGCACCAGAGATGGCTCCTCTGGGTTTGGTTCTTTGATTCAGAATGATCATTGGGGAATTACCATGTTTCCCCGATAATAAGACATGGTTTTATTTTCTTTTAATCCCTGAAATAAGTGCTTGGCCTTATTTGGGGGGAGGTCTTATTATTTATGAGTTGTAATAGGCCCCTTAATCTTGGCCTGTGGATCAGATGATTCAGAGAGGGCCAGAAGTTCTGTATGTTTCTGGCACACACTTGCCAGCCCTAGCATCGCTGGGCCTGCCACTCTTTTTGTTGCTGCCACTAACAGAAGGGACAGTAGCTAGGGTTTGCCAGAGCGGTCTCTGCAAGGCCATTCTGCGTAAATGGCAGGTGCATGTGGGGTGGTGGGACATGTTCCCCCCTCTCCACTCTCAGGAAATGGCATGGACTGACTGCACATGCATTTAAATATTTTAAGGGAGGTTATTTTGTGGGGAGGATTTATTTTAGCACAGGTGCTCAAAAGCCCGATTGGGCTTATTATCGAGGGAAGTCTTATTTTCAGGAAAACAGGGTAGTAAACAAAACAAACAAACAAACAAACAAGACAGAAGTCTTCTGCTATCAGTTATTGACCCGAGAAGACATTACTCATCCTGCCTCTATCCTTTCCTCTCCATTTCTTCTGAGACCCGAACCCCAATTTTGTTTTGTTGCCAAAGCACAACAGAGGTAATAGCAATAGCAATAGCAGTAGACTTATATACCGCTTCATAGGGCTTTCAGCCCTCTCTAAG